GCAACAACAACAACAACAACAACAACAACAACAACAACGACAACAACAACCATCCCCATCTTCACAACATCCACCACCCCCACTACAACAACAATAACAACAACAACAACAACAACTACCATCACCACTTCCAAAACATCAACCACCACCATGACCACCACCACCACCACCACCACAACAACAACAACAACAACAACAACAACAACAAAACAAAACTATAAAGAGCAACTACCTCAGGCCAAAGGGCAAGAACTCACAATGGCCGCTGGATCGGAAATGTAAAGAAAAGTAACAGCAACTACCTTCCTGATCTCTCACCTTATAGTCCAGAAATTTTCTGAGTTCATCTTGGCGGAGATCGAAGAGGTAAGACAGATCAAGCCCGTGGGTGGTTCCTTTGTACGGGCCGGCCATGAACTCTGGGTACTCATCAAAACGAAGCAGGTACACCTGGACACACACACACACACGGAGAACACGAAGATCTATGACATCATCATAGCACTTTATACACCATGGAGTATACGAAGATCTATGACATCATTATAGCACTTTATACACCATGGAGTACACGAAGATCTATGACATCATCATAGCACTTTATACACCATGGAGAACACGAAGATCTATGACATTATTATAGCACTGTATACACCATAAAGAACGTGAAGATCCATGACGTCATCATAGCAGTATATAAACACAGGGAGAACATGAAGATCTTTAGTTTGGTTTTAATACGGTTTTACGGCGCTCGCAACTGCATATTAAGGTCATATGAGCGCCAAGGGGTGGGTGTCAACAGAGAAGTCCAAACGGGGAATCAAGCTTACTCTGATTACCACTCTAGCCTCAAAACAGCACAAAGTCTGCTTTGACTATCAAGGCACCCCGGAAATAGAAGTTCACAAAAGAGTGACGAACATACAAAAGAAGTAGAAAAATAATGACTATAGTAAGGATGAGGAAAGAAAAAGCAGTAGTTCCACCTATGTTGCTCCGGCACAGTACGAGCATGACATTGATAAATCAGCCCTTTTATAATTCTACTGTCCTGGACATACACACAGGGAGAACACAGATATCTATGACATCATCATAGCATTATTGTGAGGCAGCATGATGAAATCAGGCGCTCGCCAAAATAATCAAAATGAAGGAACTGGCATTTTTCCACAGGTTAGTGAATATTTTTATCGAATTTTTTGTTTTTTTGGCTCAGCATCTTTCATGCCCATTAAAGAAAACATTTCTGCGTGGATTCTACTGAAAAGAAGTTGATTAAAGGCACAAAAAAGTACATTTTTTTGTTTCATGGACTTCCAAGCACCTCACTAATTTTACCTATGAAACCAGGGGACCCCCACCTCCTTCATTTGCAGATATCTCAACTGGCATTCAAGACAAATGGATATTTTTTTTACATCCAAAGCAAGACAAATGAACAAGCTTAAAGATGATACCAATAACTCTACATGCCCAAACATTGACAAAAGCTTGATTCCACTACGTAACATTATTTCATATTGATACTGATGACTCATTTGCATTCCATCATGGCAGGTTTGTGGTAACACAGTAGCTTTCTGCACACACACACACACACACACACACACACACACACACACACACACACACACATACACACAAAGCAGGTATACATACCTCTTCTATTCACAATGGACGGGTACATTTTTTCATCAAAGGCAAGGCATATGGACAAACTTTAAGATTATACCAGTATCTTCACATGCCCAACACCTGACCAGTGCCTGATTCTACCATGTCTAGATAGGAAGGTAGGTAGGTTTTAGGTATGTTTTAGGTAGGTAGGTTGGTAGGTTTCAAGTATGTTTTCGGTAGGTAGGAGGGTAGGTTTTAGGTATGTTTTAGGTAGGTAGGCTGGTAGGTTTTAGGTATGTTTTAGACAGACAGACAGACAGACAGACAGACAGACAGACAGACAGACAGACAGACAGACAGTATGATCGTACTCACCTTTCCCCTTTCACCACCCCCTCCACTGGAAATTGCATTGACGAATTCTAGACTCGGGACGTGGAAGATGCAGTCAGCGGCAAAGTCTGCTAAAGGGTTGACCTGTGGCACGAGACAGATGAGACAGGGGAAATGGACGCATGTTATATTTGTCCAAGGATGGATAAAATACTTCTCTGGTTTTAATTTGTTTTCTTCTTATGCACTTCTTAATCGTCTTTTAAATATTTTTTATAATTTTTATTTTATTTTATTTTATTTTACTTTATCTTATCTTATCTTATCTTATCTTATTTTTTATTTTATTTTTGGGGGGGGGGGGGGGGGGGGTGGAAGGAGAGGGATATATGGTCGCTTTACTTTTAAGCACAAGGAGGCTATTCGCAAAATGCTGTTTTGAGAAAATCGAAGGAAAAGTTTTGCCCCTTGTTTAGTTTCTTTAAAAGACAGGAGACGTTTCTCTATAACGAAACAAACATACACACCAATAAAACCAAAATTCTCCTATAGGTAGGGCAATGCCTACTTTTGGTGTAGGTCAAGATTTCTGGAAACTCCCGAAATCTGGGATAGCCTGCTTGCCCTTAAAAACGACCATATAAGGAGTCCAGTATTACGGTCAGAGGGGTGCAGAAATAGGTAGGATACTAGGTCAAATGATTCTATTATCTTTAAAACAATAAAAAGAAATAGTTTTATGAGACGGGGTGGCGGTGGGGGTGGGTACAAGTGGAATAGAAGTAAGGATGGCCAAATAGGGGAGAGGATAGAACTGGAAGGGAACGAGACTGGATGGGTATTAGGGGAACGGTGTTCAAGTTTAGGAAAAGAAAGATTGACAGAAAGATGGATAGTTGTTGTCTGGTGGAATAAAGAAGAAATGGATTCGATTGATAGATGAGGGAATGGATGTCTGATAGTGAATGAAAAATGTTTGAAATGATGAACAAATTAAAGAATAAATAAAAGCAAGGGTGAATTAATGAAAGGACGAAAACGAAAAAGAATTCGTACCCCAAGTTAATGAATTATGCAATTAACTCTATCCGTACACCCGAGGTTATTTTGTACCCGGTACCAAAGAGATTGCATTCTTCACATTTTAGAATACTTCTAGTGCGACGATCTCTTTGAAACTGTCAATATTTCTCCAAAAATCATTTTGACGGATTGCTATGCAAAGCGTACGGATCGGATTAACAAGTAACTTTCCTCCTTGGAAAGCGTGGGCACAAAGCTCCCCACGTCGTATGAATACGATAGTAAAACACGACTTAAAAATAGGGTTAAGCAATACTTTGGTTGAAAATTCACTTCTAAGCTGGATACCACACAATATCATTATATAAATGGGAGGATCAATTAATTGTTTTGCTCTTTTTGACAAAATGATTGATTTATACTCTCTCTCTCTCTCTCTCTCTCTCTCTCTCTCTCTCTCTCTCTCTCTCTCTCTCTCTCTCTCTCTCTCTCTCTCTCTCTCTGTCCATCCCCTCTTTCTTTCTCTCTCAAGCTAACTCTTTCACTTCGTCCCCTCTGCCCCGTCTCATTATTTTCCTTTCTCTCCCTCCCTCCCTTCACACTCTTCTTTTCTTTACACCCTCCCTCTCTCCCCCTCCCTCTCTCTCCCCTCCCTCCTTCTCACTCTTCTTATTTTCACTCTCCTTCTTTTCACTACGACTGCTTGTGATATTGTTGTCAGAGAACTCCTCAACCTTCCCCACTACCATCTCCCGGCGGAGACGTGCGCGAGCTCTCACGCAACGTGCGCTCTCTCTCTCTGT